CCTGCTGCTGCTGCTGCTGCTGCTGCTGCAGTGAAGGAAGGTAGCTGGGGGGGCTCTAATACACTTGACGATGGCTTCGTAGAAGAAGAAGCAATACAAATATCCGCTATCAACGATCCACTCCTCTCAGGTTTCTCCTTAGTTCCTGCTGGAGTGTCTGAGCCTGGCGTTGCAATATGACGCTGCTGCTGTTGCTGCTGTTGCTGCTGCTGCTGCTGCTGCTGCTGGTGCTGGTGCTGGTGCTGCAGTTCTACACCGCTTTCTAAGTCGCCAAGTGGGAGAGCATCACTGCTGCTGTCTTGTCTATGATGAGCTGCATTGAAGCCGCTGCTTCCTGTTGACTCTGCTGCTTCGCTTGCAGAGGATCGAGCTGTTGTGGTGGGTATATGAATCCCCCTGATCATGAGATCTATGATAGGACAGAAGATAAGCATTGTTCCTGTATTGCTGAGAGATGTAGATACAGTGAAACAAGTCATCATCAAGCACAAAGCCAGCTCCTCCGGGTGTCTAGGCGACTTGCGTATAAGCCAGTTAGCTGTTGCAATATCTAACTTAACACGACGAAGAGCTGCAGCCATCATACTCGCTCCAAATATAAGAAGACTAACAGAATTCATATATGAAGAAGCAACAAAACCTATTTTTTCAACTTTTAAACACGGAAAAAGAATAATAGGCAGCAATGCAACAGCGTATGGATCGAAGCAATTAGAAAGCCAACATAAAACCATCACTGCTATTACATATAAACAACGTGAACGAGGATCATATGCAGTCCATCCTATAAACATAAGCATAGGAAGAGCAAAACAAAAGAGAGTACCAAGCAAACGTCTATGAAACGAAGCGATCGACACCAACTGCTTCCATACACCCGGTGATGAGGTTTCCGTTTTTTCAGGCGGAGAAACCGATATTTCTGCGGGCTGATCATGGTCAAATAAAGCTCTATTATGCTCAAATAAACTATTAGATCCCCAGGAATGTTGTCGTGATCCATGAACTCCACCCTGAAACGCTTCCTCTAGCGGGATGTCTTCTAAGCCGGCACTCGCGTGGGAATGCGGCAAATGCAAGAAGCTTGATGAGTTGTTTGGGTCATCAACTTGTTCCTTCATGTTTTTATCAAAAATATTTCTGAAACTTTCTTCATGGATCATAGGCGTACATGAATTCTCGTCGCTTTCTCCCGCGGTGACCGATGGCTGCATTGTGGCTGCGGCTGTGTTTGTTCAAGTTGTACACTTCTCAAAATAAAGGCCAAGAAGCCCATCAATTGATGATATAAACCGAATGAAAATGAATTAGTTTACGAAAAAAAGGCGAACAAGAGAAGAATGAACGATTTTCATTCATAAACATATTCTGAATATTCAAGTTCAACTTGTGGCGGTGCGCCGCGACCTCCCTTTATCCAGCTAGCGATGCGGCCGAAACTCCGCAGAAATTTGTACTTTTAAGAAACATTTCAAGTTTTTTAATATAATTCATGAAACATAAACTTCAGGCATTTCACAGATCACTGAATTCTCGGGTTTCTGCTGCCGACGTTTTCGAGCCGTATACCAACAGCAGTGACCATCGGTCACCGCCGTCGGTTGCAACAGTATAAAGCCGAGAATTTATTGTTTATGAGTGAATATAAAAGAACTTAATTATATTAAGCTCTATTTCAATGATTTATTCGCAGATATTCACTCGTTTATGTTGCCTTTTCTCTTCCTTCTGGCGGCTGCTGGCGGTCGGTGTCTTAGTAAGCAGCTTCCGTTGAAAGCAGCAGCTGCTTGCTCCGCCCCAGCACACTGTGTATTATCTGTGCACTTTATCGGCTTTTCTT